TGAAAATAAAAGGGGATTCATTTTGTAAGACAGGTTACAACGTGGTCTCTTAAGAAACTACAAACGGCTACTCCATCTGTAATTGTTGCTAAATGGACTCCTAATAGTATTTGAACCTTCCAGCAAAGTCTACCCGTCACCCTAACTGAAGAGGGAGACACGCGCCCGCAGACACCCCTGCAAATAAGGGCTGATCTTCACCCAGATCAAACTCACCCCCAGACAAACCCTCCACGCGGGAAGCTGACTCGAGCCCCCCTTTCTTTTCCTCCCACAAGACACAGCAGGAGAGGTTCAGTTTCTCAGCATTCTCCCAGACCCTCAAGGTTCAAAAGGTTAGAACTGTCTGCCCAGTTCACCTCAGCACCCCATTGCCCTGCAAGGGGCTCCAGCGCCATTAGTAGGTATGAAATCCGAATTTGTTTTCTGCAAGCTTGGATGAAGGGTCCTCTCCCCTTAGCAACAAGCACACAGCCTGGGGCAGTGTAGGGCCTCAACCCACATCCACTGAGCGGTTGGGTGCTGGTGTCGAGAGGGAGCCTGGGGACCCAGCTGAGGCACGGGATGAACCAAACAGAGCTGGGGGTCTGCTCACATGAGCCTCCTTCCCCAGCTGCCCCTCTCCCATTGGGAGGAGAGCGGAGGAGACCTGAACATCTGAGCTGGAAAGGGCTTTGGCGGATCTCTAGTTCAAACTCCTCATCTTAGGGATGGGGAAACTGAGGCCTGGAGCAGAAACAGGATCTGCCCAGAGTCTCATGGCTCCGCCACCATCAGACCGAGCCCAGGCAGGCTGCGGTACATTCAAGAGCTGCTGATTCCCAGCCTCCAGCAAAGTGGGCAGGACTGTGCTTGCAATGATGTAGGGAATCCCATCTTCTCCCCAGAATGTTGCGGCGGGGTGCCTGGGGGGCTCAGAGTAAGACACAGATTGCCCCCGCATCTATAGCACACCCAGGCACAGGGAGACACTCAGTACGTTTACTGCATTGGTGCACGGTAAACACTTTGCTCCCTACCAGCTGGGTGAGCTTGGACCAACGTCCCAGCTTCCCCGAGCCTCTTTTCTCACCTCGGTAGTGCAGGGGGTGACATCACCTCCTCAGTCGTGCCCCCACCAATAAATGCATATGATTGACATCCCCTTCTGGCCCAATGCCTGGGAATGACCACCATGGGGTTGATGGAAGAATCAAGAAGCCATAAATGAAGGGACCATGCAGCCCAGATGGGGAAGGAACATTCTGCTTCGTAAGAAGTAGAAATCTCTCCCACTGAAGGACAGCACCCCATCCCCAGCCCAGCCCAGCCCACGATGTCCGTATTTCCCAAGTCCCTGATGAGCGCTTGGGGCTGTCCCCAGTTGAGGACCTGGAGGTGAACAAAATCCGGTCTCTACCAAGTGGTCTGCCCAGGCTGTCCTTGTGCCCTACAATGCTCCTTCATTAGTTCGAGGACCAGCCCGTGGAGGACCCCCAGTTCTTCCCTCTACCTGCCTTCCCCAGTCACTGCAGCTTCCCTCATCCCCAACTGGGACTTTTCTGCTCCTCAGAGCGTTCAAACCCACATCACATGGAGCCCCTGTCCTGCGGAGGCAGCTCTGGGGACCCGGCTGCTCCGCTTCCCCAGCTCCCGTCAAATCCCAGGTATTTCCAGTCTCATGCAGTCCTCGCTCAGCTTTTAGACCCCATGTGACAACGCGGGATCGCAGGCAGGGACAGTGGACATAAGCGCCCATGGTTGTCCTGCTGGTGAGCTCGGGCCTCTGCTGGCTGCCTTCTAGCTCCGCAGGGCCTCCAGTGGGCCATGCCCTTCCAGACGGCGGGCTCTGTCCCCAGCCCCACTCGGTACCAGTCCCACCTCTTCAGATAGAGAAACTGGCATTTCATGTTCCAGATTCTGAGGCTCGGGCCACCTTGTGCCCCAGACAAATGATTTGTTCCTTCGACACAGGGAGGTGCCCCGCCCCACCTCCACCCCTGCAACCTGTCACAGACACCCGTGGGGCCCTCGTTCCCCCGGGCCAGGTCTTGTTCCCCGACAGGCCCAGTTGAGAGCTGACACCGCGTTGAGTATGAATCACCCCAGAACCGGTTCCTACCCTCACGGTCTCAGGAGGGTGGTGAGGAGAGGGCCTGCTGCAATTCTTTCTGAGGACAATGGTTCCAGGAACACTTGTTGTGGGAGGGGGAGGCTTTGTTCAAGCCAGGCCCTGCTCTAAGCACTGGACAAGTATGCCCTCATTTAATCCCATCAACCCAAGAGTGTAGACACTACTGTTACCCCCATTCCACCAAGGAGAAACAGGGAACCAGAGGTTCAGAATTTGGGCAAGGTCACGGAGCTGGGGGCTGTGGAGCTGGACCCAGGCACAAGCCCAGCCCCAATACAAGAAAGGGGTCACCCCCTAGGCTACCTTCCTGCTCACTTGCACGTGCCCAGACTGCCTTTCGATTCCCAGGGCTCCCAGTCCACCCGGCTCGGCGCCCCCGAGCTCCCATGACCCAGAGGAAGGCACCTGCCGTCACTGCTATCTCTGCCTGCCTCCAAGACAGACACCCAACCCGTGGGCTAGTGCGTACCTCAGTGGGCCTATCGATGCCTTCAACCTCACCGGAGGGAGGGTCAGCTCAGTCCTGGGGTGTGTGGGGTGAGGGGCTGCTGTGTGAGAGGTCAGAGACAGAACAGAGGCTGGAGACGTCTGTAAGCCCGGACCCCGCCTGCATCCGTGACTCAGCTTCCCTGTCTGCGGTCCAGCCGGCAGCAAGGTCCACGCTTTAGAAGGAGGAGGGCCTGGAGGCTTCCTGGGGGGCCATGGGGAGATGGATTCCATCCAGAGGGGATGTGGGTGGGCAGGACAATGCGCTGGGAAGGGGGAGAAGGGGGAGCAGGCCTCCTCACAGTCCACCCTGCAAGTGGACGCCGTGTGAGTTCCCGGAGCCACCGTAACAAGTTACCACAACCGAGTGGCTTCAAAACAACAGAAATGTGCTCCCTTGGTCTGGAGGCCAAAAGGATAAAACCAAGATGTTGGCAGACTGCGCTCCTGTCTGGAGGCTCCTGGGGGGGAAATGCCTCCTGGCCCTCTCCAGCTTCTAGACATGCCCCTCCTCCGTCCCCAGCCTCTGGCCTCACACCTGACCCGCACCCCTGCTTCCAGGCCCCATGACGGTACGGACGCACCTGCAGAACCAGGACAACCTTTCAACACCGTGAACCACATTTGTCAAGTCTCTTTTACTATGCAAGGTCACCGCCCTGGGTGCCAGGACTGGGAAGAGGACACCTCTGGGATGCAGTGTGCAACCCCCCCACCCCACAGTGACAATTATGAGTGGTCAGATAGCTCCTAGATCACAGCCCCCTTCACAGATGAGACACAAGGGACCTCAGGGAGGTATCACCCCCCTGCTGGGGGACACGGCACAGCTGGACTGAGTTCGGGGACACCCAGCCCAGACACTATCCCCCAGGCCTTCCTGCAAACACGGGGTGACCACAGCAACCCCAGGAAGGTGCCCCAGGCTCCTTGCACACGGGCCCCAAGCAGGTTGGCCGGGAGGCTCTCACAGGTGCAGGAGGCTCTGGGGGTCACTCATGCAGCCAGACCTGCTGCAGTTTCCCGTACTCCTGCATTCCCTCATTCCATTCTTTCAATGTCGGCCAAGCCCAGGGTTGCTACGGGCTGCCACCAGACCCAGGCTTCGATCCCATCGATATTTCCAGGCTAAACAAGCAAGTGACCTCTCACGGGCTTCGCTGAGCCAGGTGGTCCCGTCTGTGTTAGAGATGCCGCCGTCCCCCTCCCTGCTTCCCTGTCCCCACGCTGCCCGCAGGGGAGACTCTCTGGGGAGCCCAATCCCTCCAGGGCTGCACGCGTCGCCCAGTGGCCCACACAGATGTCACCTGGGTCCTGCCCCAAAGGCCCTAACTAACCTAGAAACCCCTTCGCCGCAACCCCCCCCCCCCGACTACATGCATCATCTCACTAACCTTCCTGTCCACCCCCTTTACAGGCCAGGAAACTGAGGCTTGGAGGAGCCACGTCCCTGGCTATTGTCACCACCGTCCACCCAGCCTCCCTGTGAAGTCCTCCCCAATTTCACAGCCTCCAAAACCCCATCCCGCACCTTTCATTGCTGCTTCTGCTCATGTCCCTTCTAAAGGGAGGCACAGCTTGTGGGGCCGCACGTGGTCCCTTTCCGGGCACTTAAGGACTCTCTGGCTGGGGACAGACCAGGATGTCACAGGCTTTATGTCACTTTGACCTTTGGTTAAAAGTCCCCAGAAGAGTCATCAGTGCCCGTGGGCCAGGCTCACACCAAGCGAGCACCAGGCTGTGGGGTCCAGTCTCCGTAGTCATGATTCTCTGTGCCAGACGGGGTTACCCCCCCTTTCCCGTGAGGCACCTGATCCATCCAAGTCAGTCCCCTCCGGTGACACCAAGCTGCTTCTCCAGAAGCAGCCAAGAGTGCAAGGCCTCTCTGCCCTTGTGCTGGTGTCCCAGGTGGCTGGGAAGCAAGCACGGGTTTGTAGATGGGTCTTCACACAGAACCAGGCAGCCAGTGGCCACCTGGGAAGAACATGGATCCCGATTCCACAGCCGTCAGGAGACACGCTCAGACCAATAACACAGAAGCGCAGCTCAGGTGGAAAATCAAAGCCAGATCAAGACCAATAAAAACACCTGCCCAAGAAGGCAACTGCCCACGACCACCTTCCAAGGACCCCCCGAACCCAAGAGGTTCTTCCTCTGTCCCCAGTGCCCACCAGCCCCTGCTGCTTTGCCCCGGCCGCTGTCTATGGGGCTGGGAGAAGAGAGACGCACCCGCACAAGCACACACAACCTTCCAGCGATGGCACAGCTGGCCGCTGAAACACAGTCATCAGGACAGACCGCCGTGGAACCCAAAAGGGTGTCACAGGACACACCGTGGCCGGGAGCCCAGTGCCAGAGCCTGGCTATGTGGCGTGGGAATGTGTCCTGGCGCGCCCCTTACCTTTCTCTTGTTCGTAGGGCAAATGTAGAAGTTGTCGATGACCGTGGTGACGCCGGGCTGGAGGGTAAGCTTGGTGTAGGATGTCCCGAAGTCCGAGGACCTGGGGGGACAGGATGACAGGGGTCAGCAAAGTGTCCCTCCAGGTGCAGGTGTGTCCAGCCCCACAGGACAGCCAGCATGGGCCGCAGGCATCCCAAGACCACCTCTCCCCGGGAACAGCATGACCCAGGTGACGGGGAGGTGACCAGACTCCCTGAGTCTCCAAGGGCTCGCTCGGGTCTGGAGCGGGGTGTAGAGTCAGTGAATGCCAGCCCGTCTCCCCACCGGCTGACCCCCTCCTTGGCCTTCCACCATGTTCTGCCCCATCCCTAAGTGTACCTTCACCCACATGCTACATGCGTGTATGTTGGGGAAGGGCCCCTCTTGTGCCAGGCCCTTCTGCATCCTTCCATCTTCTCGACTCCTTGAGAACCCTTTAAGACTAGATCGCTCTGTCTCTCTTGCAGAGGCACCAAGAACGAGGAGAGGTCAGAGCAGGTAAGTTCCTGCCTGGGATCCCTCTGTGAACCTGTGACTGACTCGGGAGGTGCAAGCTGGCCCGTGTCACTTGCCGCTGGCCCCCTGCTCACTCTGGAGAGGGTCCCTCGCCGTGCTGAGACTTCACAGTGGCCTACTTCTCCGTTTCCGCCTCTGGTCCCTGAGCAGCTCCAGGAAGCTGCACCCTCCCTGCTGTGACCACATTGGGCTGGAGGACGGCAGGGGATAGCAGGCAGGACTGAGCTCCAGGGGCTGCCGGAAACCAGGCCCCCTGCCCCGTGTCTGCTAACCCACGCCAGGGGCTAACCCCTCCTCGCCTGCAGGCCCCTCTCCCCTGTGGTAGCATGCGGTGGGGGGGCAAGACAGAATCTGTGGTTCTGAACCCCCAGCCCACCGCAGCGAGAGGGGAGAGGTCATCTGGGCGAGTTCACATCTTTGGTTTGGAAGTTGGACGTGGAATCAATTCCACATTGAAGCATATAAACTCTGTGACCCCGAAATCAACAGTCCTTATTATCACCCTATTAACATGGCCTGTGACTGCAGAGCGAGGCTGGCTGTGAGCCTGAGGGCGGCCAGGTCCATCTGAGCCTAAAACATCCAGGATGTTGGGCTTCAGGGCCGTCCCCGGGCTTCCTTATCTTCGGACGGGTCAGGAGAGTCAACCCACGGAGGGGACAGGGCCAGCAAGCTGCAGGAAGCCCTCGGGCCCGGGGCCTCCCTGTGATCGCCTTCTGTATCATCACAGCTGAGAGCTGCCTGCCAGAGCCGAGTCCAAGGCCAGGGGAAGAAAGCGGCTAGAACCCCGTCCTCGGGGTTCTGGGGTTCCCCCCCAGCAGCACCTTCCCTCTCTGGGGGCTGGATGAGGCCAGTGTTTCTTGGCTTGCCCAGTGTTGTTGGGGGCCCGGGGCCAGTCTGGGGCAGCGTAAATTCCTGCCCCACCAGCACGTGTCCGCAGCCTTCCCCAGGACGTCTTGAGTGCTTTCTGCACACATACACTTCCTCCCCCCATCTTCAAGGGAAACAGAAGCTCCAAGAGGATGGGTCATGTTCATGGTCCTGGTGCCTAATGGCCACCTGTCCACCTAACCCCGGAGGCCAGGTCCCTCACCAGCCCCACAGCCACAGACCGTTCCCAGACCAGGACAGAGAGCAATCCCTGCCCCCTGACTCCCGGGGAGGGGGGCCCGGGGGGGCCAGCCCCCTCCTTGAGGTAGGTCCTTGACTGCCCTTGGTCTCCCCAGGGAGGCCCTGCTCCAGCGAACCAAGAAGGGCTCCCTGGAGGGGTGATCAGGGATGCACTTGGTCTCCAAACCACAGAGAATTGATTTATTTTGGGAAGGAGGGATCCAGAGGCCCATTAGAAAAGACCCAGGGAATTTGAGTCTCCACGGAAACCAAGGGTGGTGTTTCCCAGCTGGATGCATGGAAAGGTCCTCTGAGCCTCTTGGTCCCCAGGCTGTCCCTACTGCCACCAGCAAGCCGAGTCTAAGACCTGCGCATAGATTCTGTCTCCCAGACACCTTGCCGTCCAGCCCTTCCCTCCATCCCTGACACCGACCTGCCTCAGTCCAGGTGTTTCCCCAGGATCCAGCCTCCCCCCACCTCCCCCCCACCGCCCTTCCCCCTCCCGATCACAGGCGCCTACTCACACCTGCTCCCTCCAGGGCACCTGCTAGTGTGGGCCAGCAGGTGCAGCAGGCCTAGGGGGGCGAGGGGGCAAGGGTGATAAGTAAGAAAAATGTAACAGCCTCAGGGGCGATCAGGGCTGGGATGACAGGGTCAGTGGGATTGCTGTCTCTGAGAGGCAGGAAAGGCCCCTCGGACGCGGTAATGTTTGGGCAGAGCAGGCAGGCAGGAAGACAGTATGAGCCTGGCTGGGGGAAAGCCATTTGTACCTGGCTACATAATGCCCCCCCCCCACCAAAATCTATGTCCATCCGCAATCTGTGAATGTGACCTTATTTGCAAACAGGGGCTTTGAAGATGTAATTAAGTCATGAGGAGGTCATACTGGACGAGGGCAGGCCCTAATCCAAGGACTGGTATCAGAAGAGGAGGGAATTTGGACCCAGGGGCACACAGACGCACAGGGAGAGCGCAGAAAAGGGATGCCAAGGATTGCCGGCAACAGCCAGAGGCTGGGAGACAGGCCCAGGACAGACTCTCCCTAGGAGCCTCCAGAAGAAGCCGGCCCTGCCAAAACCTTCACCCAGGACTTTCAGCCTCCAGACCAAGGACAACAAATTTCCCTTGTTCCAGGCTAGCCTGGAAGAAGTATGTGGGCCTCTGTTATGGTGTCCCTAGGAAACGAACACAGCCTTCCAGGTGGAGGGAACGGCAGGTGCAAAGGCCCTGTGAACAGGCTAGCTCTCCCTCCTCCTCTTGGGACAAGGAAGGAGGGACCTGGTTGAACCCATTCGCCACTGTTACCAGCTACTGAGGCATCAGGAACTCCTCACCCTGAGGACAACGCAAATCCAGCTCCCCACTTAGCCATGAGCCCCAAATTCCAGGCCTCTTGTTGGAGGCTGGGACCCTCAGTTCATTCACTCACTCACTCCTTTGTCCAATATGTGTTTAGTTTCTTAAAGCTTCCAGTACCACGCTCCAAGTAGGAATGCAAACATGTTCCCTGGGTCAGGTGCACTCATGGCATGCTTGTGTATGGCATACCCACTGTGTGCCAGTCACTTCCTTGCACTGTAAGCAGGACAGACACTGCCCTGCCCCATGGGGACGACAGGCTGGTGGGTGAGACAGAGAACAGACCCGCGGTTCCAGGGAACCAGCAATGCCAATGGACATGGCCAGAGAAGATTGTGAGACTCTCAGGGAGACAGGGACTCAGGTCTGCCCTCAACACCCCTGCCCCCAGCTGCCCCCACCACCCATCTAACCATCAATCCCGCCCCGCCGACTCTTCCTGCAGGATCATTCATGGTCGGTCCCGACATGCCCCCCTCGCCGTCCCTCCCATTCTCCCTGCTATCCGTGAGGGGCCCCTGTGGGCTACAGGCTCAGAGGATGGGGAGGCTGGTACAGGCTGGGTGGGCTTCATTGAGGGCCGGTGGGCAGTTTCCCGGTGCTGATGTAACACATTACCTCAACCTTAGTGGCTTAAAACAGGACCGATCTATTATCTTGCAGCTTGGGAGGTCAAAAGTCCGAAATCGGTCTTAAATGGGCTCAAATCAAGGCATGTGTACCATCCAGAAGCTCTAGGGAAGCCCCTTCCCTCTCCTTCCCGGCTTCTAGAGGCACTCACTCTTGTTGGCCCATGTGCCCGCCTCCACCTCCCAACCATTGTCAGGCCCCCATCCTGAGTCAGCCCCTCCCCTCGCTCTGCCCCCAGGAAGAGTTCAGGGCGTGGCTCAGGTTCAGGTGCACAGGCTCCAGGGCAAAGTTCCTTCAGAGAGTGGGAGGCAGGGGCAAGAACACAGGGGAGACTGAGATGCTGTGTGGGACCTTAGAGACAGGAACCCATCCCCGTTATCCGTGGCCCTCCAATCACTCCCCCACACTGGCTCAGTGTCTGTCAGGTGCCCCAAGGAGGCCAGACGGGCTCCCGGCACTTCGGGTCAGAATACCAACCACCAAGGTCAGCAGTAAATGGCCTGCCCAGCTCGCCTCGCCATGGGCTGGCCTGGCCCCCGCCAGACCCCCACCTCTCTGACCATGGGGCCTGGGGCTGTCTCTCAGTGCACCCCCAGTGTAGGCGGGTGATGAGAATGGAATTTATTACCGTGAATAAGTCCGGGAGATAGAGGATGACTAGCCTCACTGTCGAGCTGGTGAGTGGGGGCAGGTCTGAACCCAGACCCTCCGACCAACACTATACCTAACACTGCCCCCTCCTGAAGTCTAAACAGATCATGCAGTGAGGACGGCAGTCACCGGGATCATGCAAGAATCCACAGGCTGGGCACACAACTAGCACTCAATAAATGCTTACCGGCTCCTATGGGGGTGCTCTGGTGTCAGACCTGGAGGCTGTGTGACCTCAAGCCACACATGGCCCTCTCTGGGCCATGACAGTTTCCCATCTGATCGTGTCTGAGCACCAGCAGTGGCGGCCCCAGTGGCTCTCCCCCCACACCCAACACCCCGCCTGAGCTGCCCCAGTGACCCCTGAGCCCCTTCCTGCTAGGCCCTCCCCCCAGGGTGACCTTCCCAGCAGCTCTCCTTTCATGCGTCCTGGAGCGCTGAGAGTGACTATTCCAATCTGCATTTATTCAAATTTAAAAAAAAAAAAACCCGACTCTAAAACTGGGCACCCAGAAACAGGAAAGGCAAGCTCAGTTGGAAAGTCGCTCTTTGCAAATCGGCTGCTTAATTGCTGAGTGTTTGTACATATTCACTTTTTAAAAAATGATTTAATTGAGCCATTTTCATGCTCCATAATTATTTCATTGGCAGGGCCATATGTTCTGCTCCCGCCCCTCCCCTCATGCAGATGAGCCCCTATCTCCCACCCAATCCCCTCCCCCGCCAGCTAGCCTGGAAAACCACAGCGGGGGCGAAAGGGGCTGCCCACCTGTGTGGCTGGTGCTCCCACAGGTG